AAAAAAAAAAAAAAAAAAACTTACAAGAAATCCTTCTTCAAATCCTACCTCCAAACTTATAGTATTTCAAATTCTATCTAAATATGAAAATCATAAAAAATCTTAAGTCTTAAAAGTCTTAAAATGTCACCTAAATTCCGAATAGAATAGGTGGTCTCACAAAATAATTTACTTTCATAAAATTAATATATAGTTTATTTTATCGTGGGATATCAAAATAAAAATAGAAATAAAAAAATAAAATCTATTGAGGGAGAGCTTTGCCGCCCTTGTGATCCTACGCGGCTCGATTCCAGATTAGTCGGTGGATCCGAAAACTGGAAGGTCCCTGTACCAAAAGAATAAATAAATAAAAAATAAAATGCTTTCGTTGAGAAAAAGGAATTTTTAGCTGCGCTTACAGTCGAGGCAATTGCTCTTGTTCGAAATCGTTTTAGCTCCGTCTAAGTGTAAACAGTAAAAGGGCAAGAAACAAATCTCATGAAGAACTAGAAAGGCGCTTTCTTTGTTCCCTTCTAACCCAAATCCATACCTTAAATTCTCCTAAATTCCCATATGGGTGCGCCGAAAGATTGCCTAAATAAAATGGGTTTTGTCGTAGGATAATGCAAAAGCTTGTGGAAGTTGAGGAAAATGGCGGCCAAGATAAATCCTTGCTTCTCTTGTTTGTCCCTTTATTCAAATTTTCAAACAAGGGCAAGCCTAAAGGTGCGATTTTTCTTTTGTTTTTTGGGTAAATTTGGATTGTTTTCAGCAGAAGTTGTAGGATATTCTTGTTTCTCTTTGTGAATATTGAGGTTATTATATACGAGTCACCAATTTTATTACATCTTTTTGTGATTTCAAATTCAGCAATCTGGGTATAGGAGGAATGATTCTAGTGGCTATTCGGATTTACTTGGAATTTTTGTTAATTTGTTTCCAAAGTTTGCTTTTTTATGTATATACATTTTGAATGGCAGCATATGAGTGTCAATGTGAAGCGGGAACACAAAGTTCTTTACATGTTAGCTTTGAGTGTTACTCTTGTTTATAGATGTTTGTTATGTTTGTTTTACACGACGTTGTGCGAATTTTCACCTAGTCGAACCTTTTGTTACTAATTTCTATGTGTATTTCTTTCCTTTATTGCTCCAAGAATTCTTTCTGGTATTATATGTAGATGGTTCTTTACAAATTTCACAATCTAGTTGTTTGGTATTGGGTTTCAGTTGAGCTCAAGATTAAGATGGTTCGACAAACGACAATTAAAAAAAAGCTCGGAGTACATCAAAGGTATCTTTCTTAATCTCTTGAAATTATTCCAATCATATCAACGAGATGGGATTTTTTTTACATACTTTTTGCACTATAAACTCTGTAATTAGCTTGGACGAACATTTATCAGCTTTTGAGAAACTTGAAGTAGCTCAAGTATTATGGTGCTCTTTAGGCATGTCTTACAGTGATTACTCATTGAGTTGCTTATTCATGCATCGCTACTGTTTTAAACTGACTTTATTTTTATATGATTTCTTTGACAATCCAAGTTTTTATTTTTCTCCATTTTCTGCTAGATGTCAAGCCTTGCCAGCTTATGCATTGCAGACCAACAGTACTAAATATCTTATCAAAGAGGAGATTCATTCTCTTTGCCACCTCTGAGGATGAACAGTCATTGAGTGAACTCGAACCAGATGATTTTGAGCCGGAAGATGAGGCTTCTCTCGCCGAAAATAACACCTTCGGAAATATTTCCTTTGATCACTCTGAACAAGCTCGAGGAAAACCAGGGATGATATCATTTTATGGATCCACAATGAAAATAGAAGAACAAGTTCCTGTTACCATTCAAAACAACACCCTGTTGTGGCTCATGGGTCCCGCTGTTCTTGTTGCGTCGTTTGTTTTCCCATCACTTTATTTGCGGAGAATACTCTCTTCGATATTCGAAGATTCTTTAGTAACTGGTGAGAAAACTTCATGCTACAAGGTTCTTTAATTTGTGCTCAGTTGGTTTATTTTGTTACATTTTTATGTTTCCAGTTAACGTGTTCATTGATTGAACTCCACTATGGCATAACTTCACATACAAGAATGTTAATGGCGTGCTTGGATTCAATTATATTCGCTCAAAATGAGTTCTTTTTTGTTAACTAGGGTTAATTTTGAAAAAGTTTGGTATGGTTGGTTGCTAGTGGAAGTTTAAGTTTATACTAAAATAATATTTAGAATAAAATAATTAAAACTTATTTGATGTAAAAGTAGGAGAGAGATTATGTTAAGTGATGGTTTGTTAAAATTATGTGAGTGGATTAATATTGAATTAAAATTGATGTGATGTATAAGAATGATTATTTGGTATTATTTAATTATATTGATAAAATTGAGGATAGTGAAGTTGAGTTAAAATTGAGTTAGATTTAAGTATGAATTGTATATGAATTGGAAAAATTTATAAACAAACACCCCCTAAGATTCACACGAGTGCATTATATAGCTTTTTGTTGGACATTTGCCAGAAATTCGAATCGTTACGTTTGATTAATTTTGGAATAGATTGCAAAATCTATGGTCTTCAGCTAAAGAGAACATTTGAGATACTTCTCTAATAAAGCTTTTGTTACTTAATCATATATACCGTGTGAAGGTAATCTCAATGATCAATTCGAGCCTCTGGTATGATAGCTTGATGGAATGATATAAATTACTAATTCTAGAATCGGTTATCTTTTTTTTTTTTTAATGATGATTTCGATGAAGTGGTATTCATGCAATCGTGTTAGTGCAGACTTTCTAATACTGTTCTTCACGGAAGCCCTTTTCTACTGTGGAGTTGCTCTTTTTCTCCTCCTGATCGACCGTTTGAACCGACCTGAGAAGAAGCTAAAACATGCAGAAATAAGCCGAAACCTTGTCCCTCACATGGGGTACCGAGTCTCTTCTGTTACTGTTTTGGTTCTCAGCATTATAATCCCAACTGTGACAATGGGTTTCGTTTGGCCGTGGACTGGACCAGCAGCTTCTGCTACTCTAGCACCATACCTTGTTGGCATCGTTGTCCAATTCGCGTTCGAGCAGTATGCAAAATATGTCGACTCGCCTTCATGGCCTGCCATTCCAATTGTCTTCCAAGTAAGCACATTTTCTTTCTTCTTTTTTTGCCCTTTTGATTGCTGATGATAGTATTTAACTAGGAAGAAAAATATAATTGCATACACTACTATACTGCCTCCAAGATTCAGTATAATTCCAAAATTAATCAAAAACCCCTTTGAGGCTGTACTTAACAATTAAACTCCTTCTTATGAGTGCACTCTGTAAACTAGAAACAAAGTTGGGTCTTTTTTGTGATTATGCTGTACATCAGGGATATCTTCTGTAATTAACCTGAAGATTATACTTTTTACCTGTTTCTACGGCAAACAATCGACACTTCTATTTATTCCTTTTGCATTAATATTATTATTTAGTACTATTAGCCATTTCACCCCAAATTTAATCAAGGAGTCTTCTCTAAATCTTTAATTCAATTTAGTTTCCTTAAAATGCGCAGATTTACAGGCTGCATCAATTGAACAGGGCAGCGCAACTAGTTACGGCTTTATCTTTCACCGTGAGAGGAGCTGAGATGACCCCACATAATGTGGCCATAAATGGGTCTTTGAGCACTCTACTAAACGTCCTTCAATTTCTCGGAATAATATCCATTTGGTCACTCTCGAGTTTCGTCATGAAATATTTGCCCCCCGCCACCAATAAGCAATAGAAAACATGGGAGAAGTCGAACTTTCATTACATGGTCAGTGTGTGAAAAATGATGGTAACTTTTTTTTTTTTTTTCGGTTTAAATTATGACCTAGTTGTTAAAATTGAGGCACTCGAAAGAAGTTATATTTGTGCTTTATCTTGTGAGTTTTGAATGGATTAGAAGGGAAACAATCGCGTTTTGGTGTACTTATGAATAATAATAACAGCTTGTTCTCGACTGACGAGCAATAGAACCACTTCTTGCTAGAGTTCATAACCACTCCCTTAAGAGTACGTGAAGTTTAACCGGCTCGTGCCTAGTTGACGATAGACATGGCCACGGGCGGCCCGGCCCGTGGCCCGACCCGTGACCCGTGACCCGGTACCGGCCCGGCCCGGCCCGGTACCGGTACCGGCATGAACAGTGCCGGTTTTTCGACCCGGACCGCGGCCAATCCGGTCCGGGTAAGGTTCACGGGTNTGAATAATTGAGAAAAAAAAAATAAAAAAAAAAAAATGAAGTCAACCTTGAGGTTTTAGGTAATTTTAGAAAGATCCATTCAACTTTGAAAATTACAATAGAACACCAATGGGATTGTATCTACCCTATCTTATCTCTCACTATAATAGTGTGTTTGGTAAGCATAATAAGCTAGCTTATACATTATTTGGTCAACTTATAAGTTTACTTAATGCTCGAATTCTTCTCGACTCGTTTGATAAACATGTCAAGTTCTAGCTCGTTTAATAGCTCATTTAGTTAATGAGGAGGTCGACTTGGCTCGTTAAGACTTAAAATATGATTTGTTACGTAAATTCGAATGTTTTTATCATTACTATCAATCATTTTATCCATATATTTCATTCTTGAATCACCAATAATGTACCTTCTCCTTTGGATTCATCTTAATTTTAATGTCATTTCCTAAAGTCAAAAATCTCAATTATTCCCTTTATTTTGCCTTCTTAATTTGGGAGTTGGTGAGTAAATTCTGTCTCTGCTCTCTTTGTTTTTCTACAAAATGGAACATTCGATGTGGGAGTTAGGTTTAGGGTTTGCAATTGGATTCTAAAGAATTTCATCATCATATATTTTATTTATTTTAATAAAATAAAATTTCAGAATATGCATATCGCTTTCGAATTTTTTGTCCACTAAACAAAATCGAAAAAATTCAAACCATTTAATTATTGCCCATCTGACAATTTCCCAAAAAAATCTCTATCGTTTCGAAAAAGAAAAAAAAAAGTTCCCAAAATTCACCAACTTACAACATTTTTTTTTTATTTAATTGAACTACATATCTTATTAAATTACCTTTTCATTATTACTTTTTCTTTAATTGAACTACTTTTGTTAATTACACTATTAAATGTATTTTTTTTCTCTAAATTTGTGTATTTATTGCAATAATTTTAACTAGTACAATACCCGTGTATTACACGGGTGCTTGTTAAAAAATTATTCTTAAATTTTAAAATTAATGAGAAAATTATATTAAATTTAGTTTACTTTTTTACAAAAAAAAAATATATTACTATATATTTTAGAATGATATGTGTTACTTATGACTTACATGTGTTATATTATATTAGTTTTTATAACTTATATCATATAACTACTTGAAATATAAATATATTAGTTGATAAATAATTTTATTTTTCTAATTAATATTAAAAATAATTTTATTATTGTTATAAAGATAAATATAAATTATTTTTTTTATACATACAATATGGATGTTAAATCGAAGCTTATCAAAAGAAGATTAATTTGATATATTATATGTAAAACTGATAAAAAATAAACAAGTTATTAACTTTTAAAATATATATACAATTCAATAGTTATAATAAGGAATGATATTAAAATACAATTAATACATGTAACATGACCATAAATAATCAACATATTTATGGTAATCCGAACCTAATTATTTTTGGTTTGGAATTAAATTAAAATTTATCCAAGCCTAATAACGAAGCATGTAATTTTGCCACATAGGATTCCGAAGCACCAGAAGCAGCCACGTAGGCTCAGCGCATTCTGTATTAATATATAGGAGAGGGGATGATGTCCAATGGCCTGAATCTTTTTCAAAAACAAAAATTCTTGTATAAAATTGATCTAACTGTCAAGACGATCGATTCATCATACAATTTTTTAACAATTATTTTTTGGTTATGTTATTTTTTAAAGTATGAAATTAGTAATTAAAAGTACACATAAGAGTCGATTAAAAAATTACAATGTCCTTTTCTATACCTGTTTAAATTAATAGCAGTTTTAATTAAGATAATGTTCACATGCCACCGCTTACGTGGCATAAACACATTGGTGATGTTAATATGTTCAAAAAATACATCACTAATGTGTGCATGACACATAATCGGTGGACATATTAACATGTGTCCACCGTAGGTAGGGGAGCATTCCTCGTTTTAATTATTGTTTCGATCAACTTAATATATCATCGAAATTTTGTCAAAATCGGATCATCAAATCTTTGAACACTATATTTTTCAATGAAAACCAGAAAAGAAAAAAACATATTCTATATATAGTTTTAGGAAAAAAATGTGACCCTAATCATTATGCATTGCATGCTTCAAAATATTTTTTTTTTTTTTTTTTGGTACAGTTCAAAATATAATTTTTAAATTATAATTATATCATGTAAAATTAAGACAAGGATATTTGGTTAAATTGTCCCTCTATATAATTTCCGAATGCGCTGAGCCTACGTGGCTGCTTCTGGTGCTTCGGAATCCTACTTGGCAAAAAATTATGCTTCGTAATTAGGTTCGGACAAATAATATTGATATATTAATAATTAATATCTAGGTTCGGACATTCCATAAATATTATTTAGCTAACTTAGGTATTTTAATATCACTTGTACTAATATAACCCTTTAATTCTTTGTAATTTTACATAGTGAGACACTAAATGACTAATATATCCCTGACTTTTGATTTGTTTCCTTCAATTAACTATTGAATTATAAATGTATTTTAAAAGTTGATAACTTTTGTATTTCTTATCGGTTTTACATATATAATATATCAAATTAATCATCTTTTCATTATCTTCGATTTGACATCCATATTGTATATATAAAATAAATAAATAATATTTACCTTTATAATAATAAAAAATAATATTTATTAAATTTTATTAGAAAATAAAATTATTTCTCAGTTGATATATTTTTGTTTAATGTAGTTATATGTTGTAAATTAAAAAAATTATTATAATACAACACAAGTAAGTCACACAAATAAAAGTGTCATACAAACTATATAATAATATATATTTTTATAAAAGTTATTTGAATTTTCAACTACTTTTTTCTCAATAATTTTAGATTTTAAAGAAAAAATTAGCAAGCACCCGTGTAATACACGGGCGTTGTACTAGTTAATGATTAATTGAACAAATATTGTCACGCTAGTGTTGAAAATATTATTTCAACCATATAATATAATTTCTTGATATGAGGATATATTTACCAAAATTCCACCAATAGAGTGAGCGTGTCGCAAAAGGCTTGTATATTCACATTTTTGTAATTACATTCAAATATATTATCCATATAAGATATTATAAATGTATATTCAAAAAAAATTATATTAGATAATTTAAATAATTATTTATACACCAATTTCAATGGATAAAAAATAATTTTAATTTTTAATCCCCTGAAATTGAAAATTTGGATAAATTTAGGGTCAACATGTAGATTCTCTCAAAGACTGTATTGTAATTAATTATTATTTTTTTTTTGTTTTAATTTTTTTATTAGTTTAATTATGTACCAAATGATCCATATAAAAGCACGTTTATGCTGACAATTAGAGTTATTAATTAATCAAACAAAAATGGGATTCGCATAGCTAAGCAAAATATTGATACCTAATTCCCCGACCAAATTACTAAAACATTAAAACTCAATCACAGTTCATAAAAGAATATGAAAAATGCTAAATTATAACTGCAAATTCTTTTTCTAGCTCAAGATTTTCTGGTCCCAATTTTTTCAAGTTGCATGAAAAAAGTTGACAAACTTATGAAACTCAAGATTATATAGCTCTTTTATATATATATATATATATATATATATATATATATATATACAATATATTTAAAATTTTCAAATTTCAGTGTTTGTGAAGATTTTAATTTCTTCTTCTTTTTTTGTATCTTTATGTTAGAATATCATTTGTGAGTTGTCACACATAGTTTATACATGGAAATTAGGCCCAACTTAACCATCGACCGATTTTTGGATGAATTGGGCTCACCCTGTTATGGTGCGCTTCACGTGCGTGGGACTGCACCCGCTTTGCTCCCGTTTCTTACACTTTCAGTTTGAAAGTTTTTTTTTTCTTTAGACAATTCAGTTGCTTAAAAAAATCTTTTTTTTTTTTTTTTCAATTTTCTAGTATTTTATTAAACCAAAAATTTTAATTGACTAGGACTGAAAAAGAAATGGAATAGATCAATCAATCTTATCCCAAATACTGATATAGGACAAACATTTGGATTACTTGTAAATTCTAATCCTATTAAGTTGTTGTCTCAACATAGACAATGGACTATACTAAAGCAACACTATTTAGAATGCTTAAAAGGTACACAACAAAATTGGAAAAGGCCAAGCAAATTGCATTGTACATTCATTGTCAAAGTTGTTACACTTCCAAGCTGACTTCTTTTGTCCTCACATACTTGTTCCTATATATACATATATACATATATATATATATATTTAACATAAATACTTGTACCATATGGTCTCACAATTAGGCGGTCGATCGGTCATACTTTTTTTAACATAAAATGAATATTTATGTGCAATAGAATGTCATATTTTTTGTTTATGTGTTTTTTTAGAATATGATATTTCAGTTTGAAAGTATGCATATTTATTGAAAACTTATGGTTGCGTAACTGTTAAATCTGCCTAAACGTATAGCCTTACTATTTATTTAGTATTTCTAAATATTTAATTAGAA